ATGGATCTCTGCTCCATCTTTCCTCCAGAACATTTCTGCTCTGTTGGGGTAGAAACCTGTAGCAAAGCAGCTGATTGGAGAGGAGGAAGACTTCTGGAGGAAGGACACTCTGGGTTGCTCTATGGAGAGAGTTTAAGAGTTTAGAAAAGTTTATGTATTTTATTAAATGAAAAAAAAAACTTCTCTGTTGAACACTTTAACTTCAACCCCTAAGCATAATTTTACTATTTAAAATTTTTTTTTAAATATATATTCAGAACACATAGGCTTGTCTGTGCTTTAAATGTAGTGCCAAAAAGACCCAAGCAGAGTCAAAAGGATGAGGTATGATCCATATAGACTAAAAAGGAAAAAGAGCAGTTCTTAACAGAAGCCTGGATAACAACTTCTGAACAAAGGGAAAAAATAGATGTTGGCTGTTATTTTCCAAAACATAAAAAGTACACCTACATAAGCATTTATTTATTGCATCAATAGGTCATGTGATTTTACCTGTTCTCATGAGAGAAGTCTTCCCATACTCGACATACTTCTTGACCCACTCAGGACAAATCTGGTTGAGGTAATTCTCAGCCTGTGCAATCCAACCTTTGTCATTGTCCCACTTGTTTTTGGTGAGGACAGCTTGAGGAACTGGAGCGTTCCATTTCTTTGTGCTCAGGTCAAAGGCTATGAAGTCCTCTCCATCATAACTGTACTGCCAGTAGCCTTTTTTTTCTTTGGTCTCTTCATCCCACTCACAACCATACATCAACTGGAAAACATGAACACCTGAAAGGAGGACAGAGAAATGCTTCAGATCTCAGATCGTTTTAATAATAATAACCTCAACAGAATTAGTTTGTGCATAAAATACTTTAACCTAATCAGTGCTGTAAATCAAAAAGTGATTTCTATAAAAGTGTTTATCATTTATTTTCCACAAACAAGAAAATGCACACAAATATTGCCTAACAGGTAGTTTAAACATGACCATACATAGACAATGATATAAATATTAAACTATAATATACAGTTTAACCATTTAAGAGAGAAAATAAAAACTGCCAAAACATTTATAAACATGGCTTTAGTTTTATTATTATTCATCCAATCAAGACACTGGAGCATATTTTGAGTAAGAGAACAATGTAGCAGATTTTAGTAGCACAATTTAAAAGATTTTTAGTATCCAAGTCCTCAGTTAAACTGACTGAAACTTCTCTGATGTTTCTCTGCAGCTTCAGTCTCTGTTCTCCATCCTCCATCAGTGTCTCTGATCTTCCTGCTTCCTCTCAGTCTCTAATGTTTCAGCTGATCTTCTCTCCTCCATCTCTGTGTTTCTTCTCTAAACATGGAAACAAACAGACCTGTCCACAGATCTCCTCACTAGAACCAGAACCACTGACCCAGGAGCTCCTTCTCTATAAAGCAGCTCCATCTAAAGCAGCTGTTGGTCAGGGTGGTTTTTCCAGATGTTCCCTCCTGATCAGAGGAAACCTGATTAAAGCTTCAGTCCATCAATAAACTGTCAGTGATCAGTGAGACAGTCTGAGCTGCTTCCAGCTGCCATCAGGATGATCTTCCAGCTGCTGATCAATAAACTCCCAGTTTAGCTGCTCTCAGCTCTTTATTTCTCTATTTACTTCCAGAAAAAGCACAGTTAATCTGGTTTTGTGTCAGGTTTCCTGTCAGAATAATAATATTTCAAACTTGATACTCAAAACAACTTCCTTAACTGCTGAATATCTTTTCGTTCAAGGCAAAATTACTTCTGGTCAAAGGCATATAAATATTTATACAATGACAGTTGACTTAAATTTCTGTAATTTATGCAAAACTAATAGGCCCAGACATCTCTCTACAGAAGAAAAATAATATATAATAGCTAATAAGTAACTATCAGATTTATTTTGGGTACATAAAAATTGTTAAATGATTATATAAAACAACATAAATACATGGGATATTTTTTAGAGGCGTTACATAGTTATTTTCCTTTAATTAAATTTGTCTGAGAATTTAAAGAGTATCGGTTTACATGTTGAGCAAGTTTTTTTTTTTCTGCGTTTATTTTGAATTCTGTCCATTTCAGTCCTCAATTAAATTAAGTCCACCCCGACAGCAATACAACTTAAAGTGTTAATATCATGCGGGCAGAAATGTATCTTTAATTTTGTCACAAAATTATTTTACTCTAATCTCATTATTAAAATTAAAAGTACCACTGTATGCTTTCTTGGTCTGGCAATTTGCTAATAATAAAAGAAATTCCTATGAGGAGCCAAATATTGAACGATTTTATGCCAAAAACAAACACTGATCTGACTCATACAAAGTATATTTGTCACAGAGCAAAATTTGTTTATTATTTTAAATCTATGGAAGCCAAACAGTCATACTGATTGGAAACTGTTTTATTAATTGTAGTTTTCTCCAGATAAGGACATAACTATTTCATTATCATGGTTAAACTATTGTTTTTTGTTTTTTTTTTCAAAGATACGTATCTTATTATGATGAGAAAACATTATTGTTTGCTTGTCGTGAGATGATTTTCATGAATCAAACATGGGGAAAAAATCATCTAACCAACAACCTTGTCTCATCACCTAAAAGTTAGGTTATTCATAAGATTATTCCTAGAATTACACATGACTAACATGTATAAATCCTCTCCTGCTGTTGTGTTTTTGAAGGATGAAGTCCTAATTATTTTAACTCACACATCAATCATCTCATCAATCAATCATTCAAGAAAGATTTTTTTCTCAAGATGAGGAAAAAAAAGGACTTTGCTGAGGTTTCCTTACTGCCTTAATTCACTGTGTTTCAGCTCTGTAAAATATTTCATAAAATATTTCTTTTCATAAAAGAAATAGAAAACTGCTGGAGGAAACATCATTCTCCTCCAACAGTTGTACTATGTAAAAAAAATATTTTTGGCATGTAGAATGTTTGGTTATACAAAAATAACATTTTAGCAAACTACCCTTAAAATGTTATATATGTCTTTTAGTGTGCCAATATTCCACTGCTCAGTTGTACATTTTAAAGTCTGTTTGTTTAACCACTCAGCCATGTTGCAAAACCTGTTTTCAAGGTCACAAAAAAAAAGTTTATTTTGAGGATGACATGCAGAGGCATCTCTACAAGCTGTACTGAAGAGAGTGTAAGTGTCTGATCTCCATAGGGATTTTATTTTCAAGACCCTAAAAACTAACATAAAATAATACACATTAAAAGTATTTGCTATTTGTTTTACTAATTGCAAATAAGCAAAAAAAAAAAACTGAATCTGATCTGAATATTTTAATGTAGAGCATCCATTTAGTATCAGGTTACTTTATATAACACTGCTATAAAACTTTTGGATTTACAAGTTCTGCTTCTTTTTCCACATGAAAACCTCTGCACAAGGGCTCCATCTAATGGGAACTATTACATATATAAATAATTTTGACTTGATTATCTTTTAAAAATGTATTTTTCTTGGCAAATTTTAATGTATAATAAGAGACATTTGAGTTTCTTATAAGTACTTTAAATTTCACTATCTAAACAAAAACTATTTGATTTTTGTATTAAAAGGGTTTAAAAAAAATCTCATGTTACGATAATTTTTTCATGAAATAATATCAGTATTTTTTAATCTTTAAAACAACACTTAGAATTACATTAAAAAATTATCAGAGAAGGGGAAATAAAGTTGTCAAACTTTCTGTAATTTTCTAGTGAGAGAAAAACAAAAAATCTACCTTGTGACTGATTAAACCGCTGCATTGCAACTTTTATGTTATTGCTGAAGGTTGGTACATGGCCCAGAAGAGTATTAGTCTGTCGTTCGTCATACTCCTGGCCCAGGTTTTCAGTCATCCAGCTCTGCTTGCTTTCAAATCTGTTGGTCTTGCTGTCAAAGTACCCCATCAGCTCATCATTCACAAGATTCACGGCTACAAACTCAGGGAACTGACTCAGACCAGTGGTGCCGGTGTAGAATGCCTTCCACGAGTGTATAACTGTAATAAATATGAAACAAAGAGATGGAGAGAAATGACTACACAAAAAGCAACATTCTTTTATATAAATCTTCCATATTAAGATAAAATAAGTTAACCAACATCAACCACCTTATTCATTGAATTAAAAAGCTTTTTGAAAATACAATTAGTGATTTGGTCCATAATCCTTAGTTTTTTGGGTCATGTTTGACAATGTATCGAATAAGCAAAGTCTTGGGAAAACGCACTTAAAACAAAACCAACTAAAATAATAAATGAAAATAACAAATTATTATCAGCAGCAGAACTTCTTACCAGCAGAAGTGGCCTGGATACATAGGAAAGTCACCAATAACTGCTTCATATCTGCAGGTAATCTACCAGATCTCAGTAATGGTGAACTACAGCACTCAAACACATATATAGCTCAGACTGACTGGGAGGGATTAGCTCTGGTGGGCGGGGCCACCAGCGGACCAATAGAAATTCAGAAAATTATTTTCTGATTGGTTTCTAGGAAGATTCTACAGCTAGACGTTTCACTCAAGTAATAGAAAACGCAAGTCGCACTAATGAGAGATTAACACTTTCTATCTTCCCGACTTTTGTCTCTTATCTTGATAATTTTGATAGGTAAAGGAAACAACATAATGATTTATCTATTTTCAGACTTAATCTGACGGAGGTAACAGTGTTTTTGCTTTGAACCAATTACCTATTGTCCAACATTTGGAAGGGTGTTTAAAAAAACTAATTCAGCAACAAGTAATTCATCGTTGGTAAAATTCGAGTATCGTTTAACGTACAATAAATGAACGACATTTTAATCCAGTTTTACAAAGATCTTACATAGTATTTTAGATATATTACCTGCCGCGATATCTTGTAGGCCCATAGCCAACAGAGCCACAAAAATAACACTCTTCATTTTGTTCCGTCGCTGTTTACTTTCACAAAAATGAAATGATTCCGTTCTCTGTCACTGATGCGCGGTTATGCTGTCTCCTGAGGGATTCAAGGCTCAAATAGAGGGCGAATGTTCAATGGTCATTAATATCCTCCACTTCAACCAATGGAAATTTTTGAATTAGGACAACGTCATCTAAATCTCGGTAGAATTGAATGAGTAAGGATAGGAACGAAAGTGAAAGTAGCAATATTTTCAGGGTAACTGTAGGGTTGAGCTTTAATTCATTTCTTTGTTTTTATTTTAGTGATGGCTATCTCTGAAACCTTATGAAAGTTTTCCTGTTTTAATTCTGAATACTAAGCTCTGCCATGGGCAGATTACCAAAGTAAATGTCCTTCCCTGTGAAATAAATTAACCTCTGTGATATATGTGATATGCAATCAACTGGTTTTCCTTATAGAAAACTTTGTCTCAATTTGACTGTATGATCTGGTTGAACTGTAAAGTGCCTTGAGATGACATGTGTTGTGAATTTGGCGCTATAT